AGGTCATCAGGGTTTGGAATAGTTGAACCGAGTATCTATGTTTGTTTCGGATGGCATACAACTACGTTTAAAACGATTCAATATTTTCAATTAAAAGTTTCAATTAAAAAATTGTTGTACCGTTTATTGACTCGTACTACTAATTTCAACGATTCGTTCTACTGAAATTACTGTACGACGTTCTGTCTAACATTGTATCCATGAATATTTGGACAAGAATTAGACCATCAGTCGTGGAAGACATTTAGTTATTAATGTCGAGTGAAGTTCGAGTAAAGTGGAGCCAATAGCTGTACAATGTGAACATAATGATGCTCGGTCGTATAGACACTGCAGAGGCTCCGGCGTCTCTGAAATTCCTAATCAAACTTTCTCTCGCAAGGACCGGGAAAGTTGCCGGTTCCGTAGCGGAGCGACGTCTAACAAATAGGTATCGCGTTCTGACTTAGACATTTATCTACATGACAAAGTGGAATAATCCCGTGTTTTGAATGTCTCCCGGCGCCGATATCGAAACTTGATTTAAACTTTGCCATGTTATATATCGTCCACGGTCCAACTCCCCGACCAGCCATTTTACAAATTTTCAAATGACACATGGCGCTAGCTAGTTCTCTGGTTTTAGTAGAAAATCAATCGATATCGAAGGTTCAGAGAATAAAACAAAAAACGCAGTGATGATAAAAATATTCCGAATATAAATTCCTAATAACGGGCGATTCGACGCGATCTCGATAAAGTCGTCCGTTCGATGGTGGCAAGGCATTCCACGTAGGGCAAGCGTGATTTACAATAGGCGAAGGATTACCTTTGGGCATGCGTGTGCGAATAAGGGGGGAACGAAGAAGGGGAAAAAGAGCATCTCTCTGTGCGGGAGCACGAAACGGTCTGAGAACGAAGCGCGCGTGCAGGATACACCAGGGAGTACCGATTACGTATCTCAATCATGGAAAACTACCGGGGCGGGAGTCGAACCTGTGGGTCCAGTATAACCGTACTGGCCCGCGGCCGCAACATGTGAGGTCCCTAGCTCGCCTGCTGCTTTCCTTTGCCCTGCCTTAACATTATTATACTTAACTTACCTTCCGCCACCCCGTCTTCTTTCTTCCTTTCAGTGATTCTCAGTTGCAACGGATTTTCGTTGATACAAAGCGAATCCAGAAATCACGGGAAATTTCGACTCACTATTTGTGAAATATTTCTATTATTAAAAAACTGTTTGTATCAGATGATTGAATTAAGCATAAAAAGTGATTTCTCTCTTTTTTTTAAAAGTCCACCATTTTTTGTTGTCCGTATTAGCTGTCTGATCTCTACTGGAAATCCAGTCGTGTCTACTCAATTTGTCCGAACATTCGTCAGAGTCGTAGAACGTACTATAATGGAGTCTCGATTCAATTCACTGAAAGCGGATTACTCGTGTTGTGGATGACCTAAAACCTGTCTCTGAATTTCGGAGACCGAAACTCGCGTTAAAAAAAAAATGTTGCTCGCAGAAATGGAAAAAAAATATTCGATCGAACAGCACGAGGAATGGACGTCCTATTTCATTGGAATATTTCCTCAGATTCGTACAGATAAAAAGAATTCCATGCAGCGGGACGAGAATTTGATAGAGAGAAGTCAGCGGACGAGATCTGACGTTAATTCTAAGACCGTTTTGTCGACGGTAACAGCGTTTTCTTAATTGCTCTGGTATTGTGTTTGACCAAAAGCCGACGAACTAAATAGAATAGGTAGACTCAAAGCAAACGATCCGTGCGCGCCGCCGCCGGTTTGGTCACCCTTGGTAAATTACATACAAGAATAGCAAATCCGGGAGACCTGCGAGGTATTGAATAATAGAGCAACAGGACGGTAATTCCGTCGGGAGTGAGTAACGATCAATCGGCGGGTCCCGTCGTCGCGTTCAAAGCGCCGCCAAAGGATCGCCGGAAAAGTTCTTTGTATTGGTCGCTCATTTTCTGGCTGCCTGGAGCTATTCTGTAAACGAAAACGAAACGTCCTTAGCGCGCATGTGTCCGCTGTTCGTCGCCCGTCTTAGTCCCTTGCCCTCGGAACGCTGCCAAAGCGTCGCGTTAATCTCGCTCTTATTCGCGCGAAAGACTTTCACGCGGAGGGTCGGCCGAGTTCCCCTCGCGGACAGAGGGAATGTTCCTGCGGGAACAACCATTCCAGGCGAGCGGAACAGAGCGGCGCGGAGGTGTAAAGCACTGTGCAGTTTTATTGTAGGTACACGGGATCGCACCGCGCCGTACTGCACCGTCCGGGAAGTGTATTTTCGTCTGTCGTGTCTAGACTCGCCAAAGGTTCCTTTCCTCCTCCTCTTTCCTCTCTCTCCCTCGCGGATCCGACGTTCTGCTCGCGTTTCCTTCTCGCGTTGCACGTTACTCCCATAGGTGAGGACGTACAACTCCGGTCGACTTCAACCCCGGGACCGATCCGTCTTCCCGCGCGTACCGCGCCGCGCGATCTTAAAGCCGGAAATAGTAGATGTACACTCCGGTTCTCTCTCTTTCTCTCTCTCTCCGCTGCACCACCGGTAGAGAAACTTGCAGCGCAAACGGATAATGTATATGTACACATAGGAACGAGGTATATACCGCGGGAGGAGCGATCAAGCCGCGCCGCTGCTATTCCGCTTTTTCGTACAACTTTCCTCGTTACTCTCCGAATTTCGTGGAGTACACTTGCCGGTTCTACTCGTCATTTGTGGTTCGAACAGAAAGGACTCTAAGGAGAAGGAAACTTACTATGGCCGAGAGCAACGAAGTGAAAGAGGCAAAGGAAGAGGAATGGCTAGAGTAGGAGGAGGCGACCGAGCGAAATGGAATATATGTATAGAAAACGGGAGGGGGCTGTGGTGACGGGGTATAACGGAGGGAAATAGTTGCGCGACTTTTTCTCTGTTCCAGTTAGTTTAGCTTATTTAGTTTCCTCGTGAGTACGGCGATCGATTGCCTTGATTCTCCATGATCATCCATGTCGAAGGCCTGCTGCTACTCTCCGTCCTCCTATCCCCGTTCCTCTTCATCTTCCGTAGCCCCTTTAAAGATCCTGCTCTCCATCGTGGCTCTCTGTTCTACTTATTTTTCTTACTGCCTACCGTGCTTGTAATAGCGTAGGGTATCAAACAGATGTCTTCATTGCCTCCTTTTGCGTACGTCGTACGTCGTTGATGATAATCCTATGTACGATGGGCGGATGCGATGCTCCCGAGGACCAACGTATCATTTCTTTTTTAATGTCGCGCTTCTAGATTTATCTTATTTCTACGCTTATCTTTTTCTTTTTGCTTACGTTTTTCACCACGAGGGAGGAAGTGTTTTAAGGAGGCGATGATTAAAGCACCGACAGCTGTTGAGGATTCACGTGGCTAATCCGTAACATCGATTGTTTTCACAAGATTAGAATTAGACAACATTCCACATTTATTATTCTTTTTTTATTACTGGTTCTATTAGTGTAAAGAATCTCTCCCTATCGAAATCGTTTTGCATATCGATCACCGCATGGTTACACGTATATGTGGATTCTCGATAAAAGTTTATTCCTTGTAGAAAATTGTACAGCGAAGTTTATCGGGCCACGCCTCGCCGCGCCGGGGAGAATTGTTTTCAAGTCCCCTTAATATCTGCCAATATCAACCCTCGAACTTTCCTTGTTAGCACGTTTCTTATTTCATCTCTACCTCTCTCGTCAGCTGGCGGAGAGATTTATATTCTTGCCCCGAATTGTAAAAAGTTCACGAAAGTTGCTTCACGCCCGGCTAATATTGCTCATTCCGACCTCTTCTATGTTTTGCTCCCCCGCCTCACTCTCTCCCGACTTCCTTTTCTTTTTCGCCCTCGTACCTTTCCCTTGTTCATTTCGTTTCCTCCGCGGTATACAACGCCCGCGTTAAAATAGCGTTAATGAAAAGTGCTCCGATAAAAAAGGAAACGACGGCGGAATGGCGATAGGATCGTTGCGTTGGCCGTTTATGATATAAATGAGGAGAGCGTGAGGAAAGTTGAACGGGCCGATTGGAAAACTTGTATCATCGAGAGCGTTAAAAGCGTTCGGGACAAATTTTTCCCCGGCTCGTCCGTATTGAGCGTTACGGAACGCTTTTATACGGGAATGCGTTTAGGGCAAACCTCGTTAGTCGACAGACGCGACGCGACGCGACGGCACGACGCCGTCGACGACGACGACGACGACGACGACGACGACGACGACGACGACGACGACGACGACGACGACGACGACGACGACGACGACGACGACGACGACGACGACGACGACGACGACGACGACGACGACGACGACGACGACGACGACGTCGTTGGACGTAAAGCGTCACCCGAAAATTACGTGCACAGCGTTCCGTGGATCGATTGGTATCGTGTTGCATAACTGTACGGCACGGCTGACTACGGCAAGTTTCGTAAATATCCTTTAACGCAGGACACCAAGTGGAAAAATAACTTCGTTCCAAGTCCCATCTAACGGTTGTTCCGGCGCTTGCATCTATCGTTACTGTAGCCTCCCAGTCTCTCTCACGGACTGCGCGCCGCTCACAGCTTCGAAAACTCATTTCCACCCTTCTGTCCCCGAGTTCCTATTGCCCTACCGTGTTTTTCGTTTAACGTCCTCTTTTCCTACGTAACATAGAACTTTCCATCGACGACGCGACGACGCTCTGATCTCGACGGGGACTGGTTATAACGTAATACGTAATTAATGCGGTTTATGAGAAACATCTTCTACCCCTCCGAGACATCTTCTTTTAACTTGCGAGAGAGATATAAAATCATTTTGATTTCATTCTTGAAAGCTTGATAAGATTCAACGTGTCTTTGAAGGCTTTGAATGAAAAACGCATAAAGTCGGCTTGCGATCAACTAGCGTCTTCTTTTCTTTTGTCATGTTTCAAAATCACATTTTGTCGTCTGAGTAGCTTTATAACGATAGTCAGTGAAGTGTGTTTACAAGTATCGATTTATCGTTTGTTTCAGGTCCTCCCGGAGAGCCAGGTCCTCCTGGAAGGAAGGGGAAAAAGGGGAAAAAGGGTGACCCCGGGGTACCTGGCCCGCAGGTGAGTAGATCCGTTCCACTGTGACGGTACCCGACCCCAATCCTTTCTCCCGTAGCGCTCGCACGTGCGGAGTGTGTTTGTACGTGTCTCGGAGTGTAGTTTCGAAGCATGATGTAGTTGCTAACGATACGTATGCAATCTAGCCGAATTCTCGTAGCTACCGGTACATAGTACGGTTTATACAAGTGCGCGCGCGCGCATCGCGGCTATTTTCGATCGAACATACAACCGTGACACGTCTTTACGACACAGAGGACCGAAATTGTGGCACACAACGCCTAGTTACTGAACTTGTAAACGGATTACTCGAAACAGATTTCAGAACAATTTTATTCGTTGCACAGAATTCCCTTTAAACTTTCCGAACGTTCTTTTAAAGTGGAAAATCGAGGAAAGAAATAATGTAGACATTACCTTGATTTAGATCGGTCTCATATAACTTGCATACTCTGTATGCAAATGAGGCATTAATGAGCTACGATCGACGATCATTTTGATAACTGATGTTCAGATAATTCAGGCGTGTACAGGTAAACGTGAATCAGGCCGTTTAACCGATTGCATTCAATGCGTTCGGATAATTAATGCAATCGCTAACATTGATAATCGCGTACATCCGAGCATAATAATAATAATAATAATAACGAGTCGCTTTTGCATGATACGCGGGAGTACCTAACCCCTGTATTCTGTAAAGGAGTTTTTAATTTTTTATATCCCTTCTTACAGGGTCTGACCGGGGTACCGGGCAAGAACGGTTTTCCGGTATATTATTTTTTATTTTCTCTCCATTCTTCTGTCACACATTGCCTGTCTGTTCTCTTTTACATCTCCGGTTTCTTCTACATTCCCGGTTATGCGCTGTCCCTCACGTTTCTACGTAACACCGTACTAAATCGCATTTTCTTCTATTTGTATTTTAACGCGTGCTCCTCTCTTCCTCTCTCTCTCTCTAACTCTCTCTTTCTCTGCGTTTCTTTCCGTCACACTTTTTGGTTCATCGAGCCAGCTTTCCTTTTGAACAACGACCTTCTATCTGGTACACTCGTTTCCGACCGAAAATTTAATTTTACCACGTCCATCACGAAATTGAATTTTAATATTTGGCTTCGAACACTGATGCTTTCATCGAGCCGAGGCAGACGCAAAAATTCAGAGGGTATACTGTTTCTCGAATGCCATTCAGAAAATTTAACGATGGGCATTCACACGGCAGCTTCCCCGATATAGCCGTCCCGTAAACTCGGCCAGGCGTTAAAATTTATACGTCCGAGCCGCGGCCTTCCCTTCGAACAAATTGACATGAACCTGAGAAAAACCAGGAACGAGCCTATCGCGAAAGCTGCCGCACTATATTGCAACACTCGATCGACGACTCTATCTGTCCCGCATATGTATATACATACACATAATAATAATAACGAGTCGCTTTTGCATGATACGCGGGAGTACCTAACCCCTGTATTCTGTAAAGGAGTTTTTAATTTTTTATATCCCTTCTTACAGGGTCTGACCGGGGTACCGGGCAAGAACGGTTTTCCGGTATATTATTTTTTATTTTCTCTCCATTCTTCTGTCACACATTGCCTGTCTGTTCTCTTTTACATCTCCGGTTTCTTCTACATTCCCGGTTATGCGCTGTCCCTCACGTTTCTACGTAACACCGTACTAAATCGCATTTTCTTCTATTTGTATTTTAACGCGTGCTCCTCTCTTCCTCTCTCTCTCTCTAACTCTCTCTTTCTCTGCGTTTCTTTCCGTCACACTTTTTGGTTCATCGAGCCAGCTTTCCTTTTGAACAACGACCTTCTATCTGGTACACTCGTTTCCGACCGAAAATTTAATTTTACCACGTCCATCACGAAATTGAATTTTAATATTTGGCTTCGAACACTGATGCTTTCATCGAGCCGAGGCAGACGCAAAAATTCAGAGGGTATACTGTTTCTCGAATGCCATTCAGAAAATTTAACGATGGGCATTCACACGGCAGCTTCCCCGATATAGCCGTCCCGTAAACTCGGCCAGGCGTTAAAATTTATACGTCCGAGCCGCGGCCTTCCCTTCGAACAAATTGACATGAACCTGAGAAAAACCAGGAACGAGCCTATCGCGAAAGCTGCCGCACTATATTGCAACACTCGATCGACGACTCTATCTGTCCCGCATATGTATATACATACACAGCATCGCAAGGAATGATATTTTTTCTCATCTTTCTTTGTCCCCTCGCTCGACCGATTATCCGAGACTCAACACCGTGTTTTTTCAGGGTCCTATTGGGTTAGATGGACCGAAAGGTGAGAAGGTAAGTGCACGTGCAATTTACTCATCTCATAATCGCGATCATTCTAATAAATCGGCAACGATGAAAAAAAGAATAAATTGATTTAAAGAAATCCTACAGAGACCGGAGGGCCATGATCAATTATTATCATAGCTGTATCAGTATAACGCTGCACGTGTTAATCACGTAGCGAGCATCATTAGCGATTAAATTGAGCTGTTTATCATCACACGATTAAATATAAACCTATGTGCAAAGCAGAGCAAATAATTAGCAAACAAACAGAGGCGAAGTTAATAATTATATATTTTTATCGCGATCGTTTTCCAATTGAATTGTCGCGTCTGTAATTAATTAAATTTGGATACCGCGCATTAAAATGTGATTATTTCTTGGTACATAACGCGAGTTTTTGTCATATAAATGCAGGACGCGTGATACGGGGATTCGGTGGGCGGGTATAGTGCGAACCAATGTATACCGCGCGCGGATAGGAAAAAAGAAGAGTAAAAGAGAGAAATGGAAGAGGGAGGTGAGGGAGTATGAGTGCATTGCAAATATCACGCGATATTTGTTCTGTCGATGGTGGTCTGGTTGAAAGAATTTTCGATCGGCTCACGCGAGAACTGGTCTCTTCGGCGTACACAGATACGTCTTGCGTACACGTATATGCATGATGTGTACGCGCGTGTGTGTGTGTGTAATACCTGCTGTCCGTTTGCGTTCGACTCGAATGCGTATACGTAGCTGATATAGCTGCTAGTGGACAAAGTGTGCTCTTAACTGTAGTTGCATCTAATGTTCCCGGATGGTTTTTTTTTGTATGTACATACTTACATATATTTGAAGAATGAACGGTCCGTGTCCGTCGCCCGGACCGGCTTTCTTAGAACTCGATCGATTGTTCAAGTGTAGGATACAGAAGCAATTGTTTGAGGAAACCATAAAATATTGGGTTAATATTATTAGACGTTACCGTTGTGACCACCGCGGTACAGCTTGTATCTCTGGTCTCGATACACACAGTCAACTTCGATCTCCTTCCAAGATGATTTCTCTATTAATCTGAATTTATCCGCTAGAAAATTTCCAAATCTACTCGAGATCAATTAAATATTAGCATAACTGGAAATGGAATCACTTTTAAATTCGTCAGAACGTCACAAATTCATTTTTCATCTTAATGTATTTTATGGGCACAGTCTTTCATTGAATACAAAGATGCGTTTCGTTTACAGGGTCGAGATGGAGACAAGGGGCAGAAAGGCGAGCTGGGAAGTCCGGGCTTTGACGTATTTTCTGCAGTAAAGGTATCTAGCTAAATTAGCTTGAAACGAAGTTCACGAGCGCTCTTTATGCAGTTAGAAAAAGTAAGTGCGTCGTTCTCCTTTGTGGAAAATTAGTACGCGAACTTCCCCACCGATAATGGTAACTACCAGAAAGAGTCGAGAAGAGAAATAATAAATTATAAGGCCCCCAAAGGATGAGAACAACGTGCATATTTTCTTTGGCATAAAGCGTACAGTTATTCTCGTGCATCTGGTGTTACTGGCAATGAGGAAAGCGTACGTTTTAATCAGAGGGTATTAATACACCTCTCTCGTTGACTCGCAATATAATTATTTTTCACCGTCATTAATTGCATTGTTTCCGTTATAAAGTAGCCATTCTCTTTGGCAGTATCGTGTGCGACAGAATCAAAAGGAAACGCGCGATACGTTTTTACTATTTATTCTACAGTGTTTACTTACTGGAATATGCATTATTTCATTGCGAAGGGAGAGTTCAATTCTTTATTATTGCGACATCGTTATTAATTATAGTTTACATTTCGAGTGACGAAATGTTTAAACTAGAGCCTCCTCGTATTAATTAATACGTATTTAATCGACGGTATATTATCACAGAAAACGAAACAGTACGGTTTCTGATTGAAATTACATCTCGGTTGTGCGTAATCAAAGTAACATTTGCCAGGCACTTTCTATAAACTTCTGAACAGTGAATCTCGATGTTTCTCGTTAGCTCGATCGAGGACACCGGCTTCGTTCCTAACGCTTAATTGACACTTGCTAATGTTCGTCTATGCCCGTCACTTGCGAAACGGAGATGGGACGAAGCAATTTATAATAACACGTCGCGCTGAAATACGCGTGGGTACGTTTAAAGGAAATCGAAGCTGCGTTCTCGAGTCAAACTACATATTTTATACAAAATCGTATTGATTCGCGCTGTGACGCATATAGCCACGCTGCGATCAAGCATTAATTCAACTGTCAGTTACGATAGAAATTATCCTACCGTGTTACTTTTATATGAGATCAATTCCTGACTGTAATTAAAGTTGGCACGGACCATATATGCAAATGTGCTTGTAATCATCGATCAGGTCTGTCAGTGAACGATTGCATAGTTGAAGATTGTTGATGACTGTCAGATATTCATTAGCGAGGCTTGATGGCAGCGTGGCGAGTGGCGCACTTTTTTATTTTCTCGTCAAACGTTCTTCGATCACCGAATACAGATACAGATTAACAATGTAAACCATCTTTCCGCCTACGGGTCAATGCACAGGGATTAGGGTTAAAGAGGTCGGTGACGACGCTCCGCGGCGGGACACTCGGCTATGCGGAAATCGTCGCTCTGAAGGTAACCGGCCTCTTCTTCGGAAGGCAACACACGGCTAAAGTGTTGCGGTTCAAAAATCTCTTCTCGTCGTCGCTGCTCCCGCTGCTCTCACGTACCCTTTCTCTTCTCTTCTGCTGCTACTACCGTCCCTCCCGGCTCCTTTTCATTTATCCCCGACCGCCGATTGTCGTACCGCCTCCCCGTCCCACCGTCCCTACGTGAAAACCACCAAGTCCGCACTTCGTTCCGTCGTTTGGAATCTATACCCCTCGAGTTTCTCCTAGACGCAATCCCATTTATAGTCGTTGCCTCGTGCGGTGCTTTCGGTGTAGCGTAAATTCGTTGATTCAAAGTGCGGCGACGCCTTCGCCTTGAAGAACATCCGATTTCACCCGGTACCACTTTCAACTTTGGATTTCTTTCCAAGAGAAAAAAAAAAATGAAAACCGTCTCGGAAATTTAACTCGGTATCCTACGTTTTACGTAAGGACGTAAAAAAGTGTGAGGTACTCTTCTAGCGAGACGCGATCGTCGCACTTGGTCGTCTTTGGTTTTTGGTTGGTAATGGTATTTAATTTAAGTTACAGTATTTAGGAGTATCTCTGGGCATGCCTTGGATTCGGAAGAGCAATGAGAAACGAGACATATCGTATACATATACATACATACATATAGATATAGATATACATATCCCGGAGCGATCCGTTTTTAGGTTTTTCCACCTACACCCGTTAAACCCCTCTATGTTTTTTGGTCTGGTAGCGATTTGGTTTTTACCCGTAGTGTTGACCTACTTCTAGGCACTTCAGGAGCAAGGGCATAATATCTCAGCGCAGAGCATCATACAACTGAAAGTAAGTGCGCCTGCTCTTTGGGAGTCCCTCCTACCCCCCCGTGGACCCCGTCCTCCTCCACCTTTTTTGTCATCGATTCACCAGCCATTCGATTTCGTATTTTTCACGTTTGAGAACTACTTGAAGAGTCTCGCGTATTTCAAACACGCCTCGATTCCCACTGGTATAGTACGTTTAACGAGCAAAAAACTACTCGATGCCTACTTCAGAAGTCATAAACACAAGCATTAAGAAAATGAAGAGAAAAATGATCGCCGAATTTCATTTTTATTTAAGATCTATTTAGTGCCACTTCGTCTGCTTGGTGAGTCGAGCAATGGCGTACATAAAGGAAGCTTTGGTGATGACGCTTCGCAAATTAAAACGAGAAACATTCCTTTATGTCTGTTCATTGGGGACAGAAATACAACCCTGCACCTTCTTATTTTACGAACTTCGTAACCAAGTATTATTTCAATCTTTTAAACCTTCTTCCTCAGGGCCGTGTAGGGAACGATATCTTTTATTGCGCAATTAGCTAAAAGCTTTCTTTCGATATTAACTGGATTTTATTGACAGTAAGTAGTCATACAGGTATTGAACCATTGAAATTGTCGTCGTTGATGTCGGGAACGTTCGTAGTAACGCGTAAAACTGTAGACACCTCACGAAGTCAATTTACATTTACAGAAATCGAATATGAATATTTAAACCGAATACATATTTGAGTGTGGACAGAGATTGAAGCTTAAAAAAAAAAAGGTAGACGAAGTGCATTTTCCGCATTTAAATTTCAAAACCTTCAGGCTGTACGATTTTTATTCTCGCTGGGGTATAAAAATTGGATCGAAATCGAATTGAATTTTGAACGCGTACCAACGAGGAGACGTTCGAAATGGCGAAAAGAAAACACGGTCCTGTGTTCTCTCTGCATGCCATTTTACCTACGAATCTGTCACGCAAATTCTCAAACGCACCCTTCTTGAAGGCAAAGTGCCCGAAAGCACGTGCGTATATCGCATGTTTTCTTCTACCTTATGAATTGTAATAAAAGTTGACTTTTTTTTATAGACTTACTAATACGTCGTGTTCGTCTAGCAGCGAACACGACAAATAGAATGCATGGATATAGAATATGTGTATGAATGCGCGTGTGTGTATATATGTACGTGAACTTTAATACGTATCTGCATCTGATCAAGCTGCGTATTATTCCACATGTGCACGACGATCTCAAGGTTGAAAACTGTGCGCGGAATACATTTTTTCCATTTATTTCCATTATTAATTATGTACATAATCAGAAAGAAAGATTTATGTATCGTTTCCTTATTTAGGAGTAACTTAATTCGTGTCGTGGAAATTCCGTGCACAGTTCTTCCACACGCTTTCTCTCAGTCTCTATCCGCGATCCTATTCCTCCCGCATCTTGTCTTTAATCTCTCTATCATCTTCTCTCCTCTTTCTGTCTTCTGTCTGTCTGTTTGTGTATTTCATCACGGCGACACTTTTCTCCGCTGCTCCTTTCCCGTTTCCTTCCGTCTGTGGCACAAACCGACGAGTACCGAGAGACACTCTTGTCGAGGGCTCTCGCCGGAAGAAAAGCGGTAACGACGTAACACTCTTGGAAACGTAACAGGGAGAGCCGGGCGAACCTGGACCGCCGGGGCCACCCGGTCCTCCGGGCGCCGAAGGTCTTCCTGGACACGAAGGCAGGCAAGGAGTTCCGGGCGACATCGGGCCAGCGGGCGAGAAAGGACCACCAGGACCGATCGGGCCAATCGGTCCTCCTGGCATCCCGGGACTTCCCGGTGCAAAGGTAATGCCGACGCCCGAATCATTTCACGCCGCATCAACATTACACACATCTCCTAAACACCCTTTTCACTCACAATCAGTCACAACTTGACGAATCAGTCCTAAGAACCACCTCATCATTCTATTATTAGATGCAGTATAAAATTTCAGAGTTGTCACTCATGAATAGAATTCATGGCACTGATCGATGGTATTATAATGCGGCGCGTTTAACATAATACCATCAAGTCTGTTTTTACTTTTTGAATTATGAGAATTTCATTATGTTACTTATCTGTGAATACGAGCCCTGCACCAAAAGATCAACTATGACATCTTATCGGATTCATCGATCTTGTTTAGAAGCATGTATTAATTGATGATACATTATTCGTCCGCAGGGTGACCAGGGTGATAAAGGCGAACGAGGTATAACAACGTCTTTGAACGGAGAACTTCAAACTGGAGTATTCGAGGGACCCCCTGGTCCACCAGGACCACCTGGTAGGTATATACGCGGTATAATTTAAATTCCCTCAAGACTGATAGCCAGGCATAATACGTTGAAGCGACATAATAGTACGACCGCATAAAGCGATTTGAATTATGCTCTCGACGGTTTCCGAGTCTACGTCGTATATAATATGTGTCTAGGGTGGATCACTAAAGATTATATACCAGTTTAAATGCCTACGTGCTTATATTTCTGGGATAAATGTATGTAGGTACAACCTTGACAATTAATTAATTCCAATTTATTTATTGCTTTCTTGCTTTGATTAAAAAATTTTATGATTTATTAATTTCGTTTATTTTTCGTTGGAGACATTTCGAGTAAATTTCAAAATATTAAACGATAGTATTCGAGTTTATTAAATTTAATTTCGGTGTGCGTTTCGTGAAAGGATGTTACCGGAGAAATATTAGCGACGTGCATGTGATTTTACCGGAGAGCGAGAGTGCGAATGAGAACAGATGGAGTGTCACGTTTTATTTTATGCACGTGATGTACACGCACACAGGGCCCCAGGGCGAGAAGGGGGAGCCGGGCCCGATGGGACCACCCGGTCTGACGGGAGAAAAGGGTGTCCGGGGTAAGCAAGGGAAGAAGGTAAGCTTCAGCGAGGTCCTCCGGCGAACAACCACCGACCAAATCGACCGTACGAACCATCCCGTCCTCAGCCGATCCACTTCCCCTCAATGCCACGTTCTCGAAAGAAAAATTCTTCCTCCACGTACCACGATCCTCCCCCGATAATCCCCCATTGTGAAAATACCGTACTTCACCAGAGATTCGTTTTCGAATTTAAATCCCCCTCTGATATGTAATGCACGATAAAAGCATATTATTAGCTTATTTTTGGTAACGAGTTGCATGCAAATCTGATCGAACGTACAACGTCGATTTCTCGGAATAAGATAGCGAACATTCTTGGGACGTGAATTAAAATAAGGAATTTAACCGAATTCGAGGCAAACGAAATATTTGCATAATCGAAATCGACGTAAGGTTCAAGATCTAAGTAATGCTACTTCGGTTTATATGAAACGACGCGACAGTTTTATTCACGCTTCACGACACCTGCATGGAAATCACGAAGGAAAGCACATGCACGATCTTATCGGGCACGCATGCGAGCATGCGACACGTATGGCACTACACAATCACCTGCCCCTTTTCATTTAATAAAGTGAAATAAATAGCCGTTAAATTGCATCGTCGTTTCCACGACGATAGACATAGTCAATGTTCTTGCTGGTATTAAGACAAGTGCTGTACAAGACTTCTGTTGTAATAAACAGGAGAAAATAGATCGTTCTACCAATCTGACGGAGTAGTTTTATTGTGAATGACGCTGTCTTAATGCGCGGAGAACATTTTCTATAACAGATGCGTGCGTAACTGGAACAGACACCGTAAAGGACGGTCGACTGTGCCGGTTATCGAAAGAGAAACGTTGGTGGCAGCAAATAACACGTACACGCGAAATGATCGACTCGAGACTCGACCTTTTTCCGGTTACAGTAATTGTTTGCTTCTGGAGGCGCTACATTTGTGTCACAGAAGAGACCGCGCGGTTATTAAGGGTCTTCCTCGTCGAGCGAAAGGACGAATACTCTAGTTATCTTGTGATGGATGCGACGAAATTACACACCTGCGCACTAAAACCCCCTAACGACGGCTTAAAAAAAGAGAAAGAAACTTTCAAAAAGACTCATCGCCGTCTAACGTGTTCTTGTTCTTTTTTTTTAAGGTCTTGCCGTAAGTATTACGCTCTCGCAACGTGTCCGATCGGGGAGTGCTCGGTCCTCGGAGCGGCGGCGACGCGACGCAACAAACGAGGAGGAACGTGTTGCCTCGCGTACGAATCGCTAATTGTATTACCGTTATCGGCCGCGATCGAGTACGACGTCGATAAACTACGCTGTCTCGTCTTGCGCTAGAAGCATTTCAATGAACGAATCGAAATCGGTAGAATGCAGCCGTGTTATCGAGCTAGACAAGACGGTAGAATTCGTGAAACTTGAGAAATTTCGCAGAACGAACATCGTTGAGTTTCCGGAAAGGAGAATTCGGCCCTCGTAAATTGTAAGTTCCTCGGTGCCCTAAAAACGAGAAGGGAAGAGAATCGAGCCACTTTTAGTTCGAGAATTGGGCCGTATTTCACGGACGCATTCCTTGTTCGAATCTCCTCGAGCATTGAAGCTCGCGGAGCGACAGTAATTTTCTTCTCGAGAAGATTTTTGCGCAGCTTGCAAAATTAATTTTATATACTATATATGTGCAGTGCTTCTACTTTTGTAAAATTCACTGGACCAGCTGACGATGGGTCTGATTCGTCTACTAATAACAGTTGCGAAGTTCTAATAATCAGAGCGAAAGTGTGCGAGATTAAAAATGATAGGAGGAGCAAGATGGGATGGAGAGAGGGTCAGAATGAAAGAAAGGGTGACAGACAGAGAGAGAAAGAGAGAGAGTGAGGGACTGTCGCTTATCTTTTAGTCTAGTCAGTAGTCTGTTGGCGTAGTGTACGTAGCTTGTGTAACTAATTTGTGTTTAATGTAGCAAGTAACACCACACTACTTCTTCCCCTGTGTGTCGGTTCAAATCACTAATAACTAATACTACTACCCCCGGCTTTGAGGCTCTCGCAACTTTATCGACCGGTGATCGATGCAAGCCTGCGATTGTCGCGTAAGTATCAAACAGCCCCTCAAAGACTATATAGCTTTAAAAAGAAAAAAAAATCTACGTCGAGTGTCATACGCCATATTTCATGACTACATACCATCAGTGTCATTTTTTTTCGTCAATGTTTTCCCTTTCTGATTCATTCTTATGTTTCCCCCCGTCCAGTCGCCACGTAAAAGGTACATCAACGAGCTAGATTAATTACCTTTGAAGTATACAACTGATTATTTTTATTAAGAGTTGTTTCTGTTGTGAATTATAAAAGCATTAGAAGGAATAAAAATGGGAAAAACTGCGCACGCTGAAAGCAGCGGGTAACGGAGCACCGGCTGGATTAATTGTTACATCCCTCTCATTAAATTCCGCACATTCTGTGTATACTTTGTACGTGGCGTACGCCGGGATGGAAGAGGAAACGGGAGAACAAAAAAAAAAGAGTTCTAATAGCTTCCAGTTTCTACTAAATTTGATCCCACTAACAAGCGTTCCCATTATTGTATATTGCATGCGATACCCGTAGTACTCTTTTGTGTTTCGAATTAAACGTTAGCGTGTTTAGATTTCGTGTGTTAATAGTGTTTAATACGTGTATCCCGCTCGAACGATTTCGGCACATTCTTGTTCCAAATTCAGATGAAATTGGATAACGCAGATGGAGGTCGTGTCAAAATCGATCACGGGGATCGTAGATAGTCTCCGACGAAACCGATCCTTTCCGTATACCCGTCCTACCCGAACGAAATCGATTAACGCTTCGTCGATAATAAAAAGAGAAAAAAAAAAAAGAAAGTTTGATGTAAGCGGACAAGAAAAAGATTGAAGAAAGATATGGAGGACCTGGTTGAATCTGACCTTGCAGTGTTACATTATAGGGTTTCAAGGGTGAAAGCGGTGTGGCATTGATGAGAGGTCCGCCCGGTCTACCGGGTACGAAGGGTGAACCCGGAGAACGGGGTTACCGAGGAGAAAGAGGCACCAAGGGAGACACGGGCTCGCCAGGTAGATTCCCAAGAGCCATTCCTCTGCGAGAAAGTTCAACAGAAAGACGGATGACAATGAATTCCTTTTCCTCCGCTCTGATATCAACGGCGAACCGTTTTCTTTTGGTTTTCCCTCCGATCTAACGGATGTCCTCCGATCGCCTCGGAGTGGATACGGGCGGCCTGTTCTACGTTTTTAAAAACTACTCCGTCCCTTAACTGGTTCAACCGAACCGAAATTCTGCCATTCCAATTAAGTGAAAAACATCTTAATTGGAAAAGTCAATCAATGGTGTCTCCAGTGGTTTGTTTGTCCTATAGAATTGGTTTCCTCATTGGTAAAAGATATTCGGCTCAGGCAAATTAATGGGAAGTGTGCGTGCGTGCGCGGGGGGGAGAGAGAGTTCGTGCTAATTAGCAAAAAATGTCACAAATTAAGTCATCAGGAATAAGAATTATTGTTTATTCCTACTAGCGATAATTGGTAATTTCAGGACCGAAAGGCGATCAAGGGTTGCCTGGTTTTCCTGGATTCAATGGAACGGACGGAGAAGTCGGTATTCAGGGTCCTCCAGGATTGCCGGTACGTAAACCGTACTGCCTAGTTAATTTTCAATCAGTCAATATTCATGCATCCTCGACGTCACACGGTGTAATAATTTAATTGTCAAATCGTCATAGATTGTCATTGTATCATGAAGAACGTATCAATTATTTGCTCAGGGAATTTCTGGACCTAAGGGCGAAAAGGGCGAATACGGAGATATCGGACCTCCCGGACTTATGGGACCGCCAGGTTTGCCTGGTCCACCGGTACGTAAATTATTCATCCCTTCCGTTTCTTCGATTATCGAACCTGAACCCGGATTCGAATAAATGTTTAACGCGTATTCGTCGGTAAACAGGGTTATCCAGGGATGAAAGGCGAAAAAGGAGAGAAAGGCGAATCGGTGAGTCGATCTCTCGACAATACTTTACGCTCAGCAGATGGAATATCAAAACCCTCTCGCGTCGGATCTTTCCCATTTATATTCCCATTCAACGGGGGGAAAGAATCGATATAATTGATTGTTGTGTAGAGTACCGGTCGTCGAGCCGGCCGAGAGGGTCGTTGAATATCCATCAATTTTCGCTGCGAGTAATTCTGGGCCTTTGGTTTCGATGCGTGTGACAAGTACGACGTACTCGAGCGCTGTCAATCGGTTGGAAATCGGAGGCCCGAGCACGGCATACCACTTTAACGATACCCATTCAACAACATCGTGATAAAATCTATTTCTTTTCATGACGCGACACGGGGCTACCGCTGACAGAAATACAAAAAACTTAGGCGAAGACAGGTACGTACCAATGCTCGGCAGGAATCGTTCGCTCGTAGCAGAATTCGTTATTCGTGCCGCGGGCGTAGTTAAAGTATTAACGTCGTGAAAGAATATTTACGTTTACATCGTTCGCTTTTATTGCAGGGAGACGGTACGTTCGAAGTAAATGCCGGCGAAGTGGTAAGTACCGATCGAAAATTCGATTCCGTTCGTATCTAATCTCGCTGAAAGCGCTTTCCGCGGTTGAATAAAACAGGAGTCTCGTTTCGAGTTGCGCAATTAATTGTCCGCAGATAATGGGACCGCCGGGACCACCCGGTCCAGCCGGTGCCCCTGGTCTTCAAGGTCCTCCAGGCATTAAGGGCGACCGAGGACACGATGGTGCCAAAGGCGATCCTGTCAGTAATCACTTTAACAATTAATTGATCACTTCATTATTTAATTACAATTCTGTAACAAGAGTTTCGTGTATTACACGTTATTAGAACAATCGACACATTTTTATAAGTTGCATTAAGTATAGACCTTTAGCGTATGATCTCGAGGAGGGTGAGAAGAAGGATTGGTACGCGCGAGACGCATTCTCAATGGGTCATTTTTTCACGTTACAGGGAGAGAAGGGTGCCAAAGGAGATCCTGGTCCAATGGGACTGCCCGTACGTATTTTCCTCTCAAGATTAGGTTTGTAAGCTCTGTAGGTCACGACACGTGACAAAATGCCAAAATCGATCGATCGAAAATTTAGTAACTCATATAAATATTTTTGCATTCGACTAAACTTTCCCGTGAAATTGTTCGAGAACGTTATTAAGGATGTATTGGCTATACAGTGAATCCCAAAAGTTTATGTACCTTAGAAAAACGCATTTCCTATAATTAAAAAGAAATCAGATGTCGCAAGAACAATGCTAAGAATAAATAGCTGGTGAAAAGATTTTTATACAGATTTGCCGGACTCTGTTGAGATGTTTGTCTGCTTACAGGGCCCCATGGGACTGAGGGGAGAATCCGGGAAGCCCGGGGATGCCGGGAAACCTGGTGCCATGGTAAGAACGCGGACCTCTCGCTCCTAACGTCATCGTTATTTGGCCTCGCTGCTGAATTATTACTAGGCATTCACTAACGACCAGTGTAATCAGTCGTCGGCTCGTTCGACGATTCAACGTCTTACTTACTTCGCGTCCTCTCTGGGAGATCCTTGATTGCCTCTCGAGTATAGTACCTCGCGCGTCGTTTCCTGTATCATATCAATCGCGGTCGCTGCGCAAGACGCGTGAATAAAAGAAGAGAGAAAAAAATAAAGAAAAGCTCGCAGAAAGCGACTCGAGGGGCAACAAGACGAACGCAGCCGATGCGAGGTACCTTCGAAAGGGGATCTCAATTTGGATTAACAATCTTGTCGGTGGACAAGTTTCGATGTTACAGTCATATCGTTAGCATTTATTGGATTAAAATGTAACCGCGCGGATGAATGTTAGCAAATCGCTTTCGAGTCGTTATTTTGAAACACACAGAGAGTATCATTGACCGAGGCACAGTGGACTTAAGTAGCTTCATCGCTTGTTATCGGAATCTACTAACGATAATCCTCGACGATGAACGAATAGCAGGGAGCTTAAAGGACCGTCCGTCGCAAAAGTTGCGGGCACCGTTGTGATATCACGTTCCCGAACGTAGTACCCACGCGCAGTACAGACGCACACAAACAGACACTCATACCAATGGATAAAGAGGACTTTAACTGAAAAATGAATAATCGTACGGGACCGAGTCGATGGGAGTTCGCGTCCTACGTTGTGCGGTGCGGCAATAAGTAAGGTGGTCACACTTGTATTACATAGTGGGTACGTTTCAGCTGTGCAAAGTGTAGCAGAACGTAAATTAACTTGAACTAGAGGATAGTCGATGATGATTTCTGCATTTTATGGATTACGTGTCGATGTGTGAGGGAAAAAGAGGGAGAGGAACGAAGCGTCTTCCATAGATATTCAATATACATATGCAGTACGAGTAACGTCGTCCAGTGGATCTTTCATTTCTCCTTGCCTTCGGTTGGGTAACGAAATACGGATACGCATTACGTCGGTGCTGTACATTTATTTATCCAAAGTAATCTCCAGCGGATGTTCGCACTACCATCCGTCCTGTCCATCGTATTCTATGTTTAATCTCTACAACTACTTGTGCGTGCGTGTCTACGCGTGTATGCGCTGCATACACTCGAGGGAGGAATGTTAATTAAATTGAAACGATGAAGTTTTAGCGTTATACGTGGTACCGCGGTACGAAAGCTAAGATTTTGCCTTAAACGATTTAAATTAAAACGATAGATTAAGGTGATAGATCGCTATGTATAAAAGAAAAAAACTTTTTACGACAGTTTATAAGCTATCTAAAAAGCATTACGCAGATTATTTTGTTCAAACTCATTCCTTCACCGATCTTTTTTTATACCACATTTTCCATTTGTTTGTTGTTAAATTCGTGCTCCTCTTCAGTTCTTGTACCTATATCTCCTCTGAACTGATTTCGAAGCTCGAAACTATTTTTTTGATATTTTTCTAATTTTCTGTTTAAGTTGTACTTAACGAGTACATAATGTATCATCTTGCGCATAATAGTAACCGTATTATTTATTTCGTTTCTACGCCTCCATGCTCCCGCGTGTTTCAATTATTAAATTTCAATCTGCTGATTATTATTTCACGCGAACGTTCTTTAATTAATGATACTTGTACATCGAGAGCTAATCAATAGCTTAGGCGAATGCGGCACGATTATTTCTAGAATCCATCGCGTGCGAATAACGAGAGGTACTTAAATCCAATTTAAGAGCAGACGGAAATAGATTGGTAAACGATAATAAGTAATCGAGGCCTAAAACCACGATAGTGATTATGCATAGATGATATTGCCAACGACTTACTTAACGACTCAACAAGGAGAAAAAGAAAATTAATACGTGTTAGCGAATTATTTGTGATCTTAATCACCGATAAGAACGCGGAATCGCCTGTTCATTTCCACAGTTGAACACGAGAAAGCAGACAGTTGTACAACGTAGAATAGTTATCGACAAACGTAGTGGTGTTAACAAATCGTTTAACGACGTCTCGCTTGCCTCGGTTCGGAGTTTAACGGATTAGCTACCGATTTTTGCTGTGTAATAACTTCGATGGAGATGTGTAGAAATTATTGCGAATAGTTATATACCTAACAAGACGACGGAATGAGCAGAAATATGAAGCTCCTCGTATCGTGCAGGCACTTCAAATGATAACGCGAGTGAACACTATTGGCGATAGGCGTCGATGCATCTGCGTACGTAACTGTGCGGATGCAGACGAATTTTCTTCATTGAGAAAAAAGCTGATAGGGAACTTCACCGTGACTCGTGTGCGTGTGTATACAATTTGCGTATGCGTACGTATATACGTATACACGCATTGGTGTGGCTGTGTGTACACATACATATATATATATGTATAAAAATATATATATATATATATATACATGCATGATGACAACGGATAGTAATATTAATAACGATGGTGAGGTATGCGGGGAGGAGGCACATAACATTTTTTCGTGCGTGCGTATGTGTGTATTGTAAATCGGCGGCGCGCCTTGGTGATTAACAAACAAAACGGACAAACGAAATATAGATGAGAAACAAAATTGAAACGGAGGAGAGAATTATAGAGAACAATGACGAACGACGTATTTGCGTATAAGAATAATTAACTCTAACAACTTTTGTTTTACAATTTGTCCCAATTAATAAACAGAATGTGCATGTGCCTGTGTCCTTTGCTTCTATACAATGCCCTTTCGAAATTTTTAACGCTTCACATTCACCACCTTGTAGTGAACATCTTACCGCTTTGCATTTTGCTCTGGCTGCGATCCGACGATCGTTGTTTCAACTGTTATTTTTCACATACATTTAGTTTATTACTCTCGTTCTGTCCGCGAATCCTTACTTGCGTCTCGTCTGACGAATCGTATACATTATTACACGCATATCGAGATCGCGAGATAGAGATTAACACGTGTTAATTTGCTGCAACCACGACCGGGTAAACGTAATTGTTGGATCGTTATGCCATCTCGTGATACACTGTACAGCGAAGGTATTTGGAAACGTAATTGGCATACCAGTAAGAGAAAAAAAAAACAAATCCGCTGGTTTTTTTAATTTTTTTTCCTCAGTTCTCTTGAATTCGAATTTACCTCTTTCTTTATCTTTCTCCTTTGCCTAACGCCCATTAATTGTACACTTGCCTCGCTCTAACTAAAATAACGTACTTTGGCGAAAAAAACTTTTTTTGTATTTCTCGCTTATAAATTAATTTTTAAACCGCGAGGAATGTGCAAGTATTTGATTCACAAGCTGAATTCCTTTATTTGAAGGATACTACGTGATATAACAAGTAGTAGTCCCTGTTTTTATTTGACACTCGAGAACGATGATTTTTAATAAGAAACATGATTGGAAGGGCGTTTCTGAGGAGCTTGGCAGGGTACAATGTTGCTGTGAATGTCGGGGCGGAAGGCGTCTAATCAAGTTTTCCTAATAATAAATTACATTTGAAACGGCATATTCGATATTGATTGTCAGGTGACTTCAATGAATTTGACAAGGTTTCCTCTGCCTTTCAGGGGCCACCAGGATTAGACGGCATGAAGGTGAGCAATCCTCGGGGAGACCCGTTTAAACCATACGTTATAATTTTATAATTAATCGGATCTTCGATCATCTCGCTCATACTGCAATTTCATCATTCAGCTCTAAGTAGATTAAGTCGCGGTACTGTTTCGATGTACGAAAGAAGTACAATACTCGGTTATCTCTTCGTATTTACAGGGTGCGCAAGGAGACCCGGGCACGAAGGGCGAGAGAGGGGATCCCGGCCTACCTGTAAGTAACTCTCCTATAAAATTACGTTTGTGTGGTAATTGGCCCTCGGATTGAAATTACTTTCCCTGTAATCGAGAATATTTCGATTGATCACAGCCATAAGCTTGAAGGTCTCTTGCCCCCGACTCCTCGTTTCTTCATAAAGATTCCGTAACTTTTTTTCAACCGGCGAACATTTCGAAAGTTTTTTATGAGAAATGTTCGGCCGAAACTCGAGAGAAGTATTGACGCGGGAATTCGCTTCCGAGCACCGCGTGGCAGGGGATTATTTCAAAATTTAATCTGTCCGCCCGCGAAGGGTACGACGCCGAATCGTCGACACGACGATTTATTTCTACCGAATGATCGCACATTTCATTCGGCTGAAACTCGATTACACGTTCCGTCGAGACATCAACGACGCATTCTGTTTATCCCCAGGGTACCGACGGAATTCCTGGCACGGAGGTACAGTGGCATTCGATTATCGCTCGCCCCTCGGTGTGACTGCGACACACAGTCTAACCAGCCCGGGGTAACGACGATACATCTGCCTGATTTACCCCGGGGACTGTCCCCGAAAATTTTTTCTCTTTTTAGTTCCTTTTGCACGAGGGCCCGAACATTACTGTTCCACGCTTCTCTCCCTCTTTACATTAACACCTCGCACGTTCCCTCGGCCCTGCAAACTTTGTCAGAACCTGCCTCTCAAATCTGGCATTTACCTTACAAACATAATTTAACATTCACGTGTTTATACCTAACACAAATTACATGCACAATTAAACTAACAATTTTGATAATTCGATAAGTTTGCTTAAAACTTTTCATAGAACAATTAAATTCCAAGTAAAAATTATCGTTTAATTGCTTTATCAATTCAATGGGCAAAAAATTTCTAGTCTGGAAAGAAGGAGAAACGCACAATTCTCTAAATTTGTACTTAGAATTTCTAAGAAATTAGAACTGCAAACTGTCGTCCAACTCGCGATGTAAAAAGGGGGATAATGAAATTATAGCTTGCTTCTTTCACTACTTGACGCACTCTCGTGATTATGGTCACACTTTCTATCTCCGCAAGCAATTTCTCCACAGCAAAATCGTACGTGTAATAAGAAATTCTGTTTCGACCAAGAAAAATCGTGCATGTAGAACAGATATTAACAGAGGCATGAGCGTCACTTAACGAATAAATACTTTGACGTACCGATTCCAGGGACCGAAGGGAGAGAAAGGTGCTAACGGCGAATCTGTGAGTATTAATCTAAAAAAAAGACTATCAGTAATTAAATAATTGGGCAAGAAAATCATAGAGCTCGGCGAGTGAACATCTTACTGATAGACGAAAAGAGTTCCTCGTTCCAGACCGAAAACGATTATTTCTAATCAGCCTAATCACCGTCCTAAATAAGTACTTAATCACGTTATTATTAAGATCGTAACATCATGTTCATTATCAGCATTTAGTACTATGCATTTCCATGTTCTCATTGCAAAATCATCGGATTCGAGTCGTGACTCTCCCCGGAAGTACAGGATGAACTTTAGAACGATCGTCACTTCACAAATCGATTCTCCATTGATCCATACACGCTTACGTATGCTGCCACCAGCGTATATTGTAAATAATGTGATTTAATAACTCATTCCGAAACGCAGTCTACCGATTATAGGGATTACGAAGCGAAAATGGAAATGTAGCATACTTTCACGTTTCCTTATTTCGACACTTGACAAAACGAGCTATCGAAACGGTTCAGAGTACACGGGGGACCGAGTATAAGAACGGAAAATTTGTTTCTCGACGCCTTTGTTGGACGTTCATGCTCAATTGCGTATTATGCACAATTAATCGATTATTACTATGCATAAAGAGTACATCTCTTTTTCTTGTGCCTGGCCTTATTTGCACGTCCGCGAATACGTTTGCCTGTGCGTACGTCGCTCGAGTCCTGAAGCGTTTTCGTGTATGAACACAGGGACCGTCTGGGAAACGCGGTAAAAAAGGCGACAAGGGCAGCAAAGGAGATCAAGGCGTACCTGGATTGGACGCACCCTGTCCAGTAGGGCTCGACGGACTTCCACTAGCAGGATGCGGCTGGAGACCACCCCAGGTATCTCGCTTTTCCCATAAACGTTTTCATCCCTCCGTTAATACTCCCGTTGCGTTTTAACTGTTTCTTCCCCGATCGTCCCTAATCTTACAATTAAATCTTTAAAAATGTGATTAAGACGACTTTGACGAATTAGAAGTTCATCTCAACATAATTTTATATCGTAACGAGTATACTAATCTTTATCAAATTTACTTTGATTGAGAACTACTGATTAATTGGGTTGTGATTTTTATCAGAAAGCTTTACTTATTCTGGGTAATCGGGAGTAAATGTAAATAGCGAAGAGGGGGGTTTGTAAGGGATTGTAAGTAGGTGCAACGAACGCTTGGATTCTCGTCTATGCTTAGCAGGAGATCACTAGCACCTCGATACCAGCTGTCGAAGAGTCTGAACCTGCAGAAACGGAGTACGAGGAACAAGGAGCGGAATACGAGGAGTATACGGATCCAAACGAAAATCTAGCCGAGCAATAAGTGCTCGTTGTGCGCTGCCCTAATCACTACCAACAACTACCAATACTACTACCACTACCATCACCACTACAACCACCAAAACCACCACCGCGATCGCCCTCATCACTCGTCTCACCTTGCTCTCCCAAACTAACGTGGTCCTGGTAATTGCAAGTCCCGTAGTTATGCTAACGTTGTTTGCATGCGCAGTCGGCAGACTATGCTCCTAAATAACAAATCTGCTCCGAAGGCAGACCTTCGAGAAATCTGCGACTACTTTTCCTTTGCCAGTTTCATTATTTTACCTGCGTCGCTCTATCGCTAAGTACGCGCGTTGCTGTAATTAAACTCTTTTGAAAACGACACTTTGTGTCGAAGCTTACGCTTCTGTTTGCCTTCAGCTTCGTATCGCTTTAGAAAAGTTAACAAATACACATATTTGACTGCGTCTTTGTAAAATATCCGCTTACCACTTTCTTTCTTTGCATCGCTTATTCGCACGATGACATAATTTTTTAATATGTAACAATCAACAATGAACTCGTCTATAATCAATGGAAACTTGTACAAAGCATCGTACTCGTATAATTTCAAAGAAACCATTTGTTTTCTCTTTGAATGTATCTACACAAGTTTTCTCTTTTACATACGCTTTATATTTGCAAACGGAATTTCGCATTATGCAAACGTTTACAATTTTGCTTTCCTCTACGGATGTTTTCAGAGAAGAAGGAACATTCTTCACGATTGGCTAGAAGAGGAAGAAGGAAAAGAAGGGCAGTGATACAAGCACGATAAGGAAGATAGTACATATTTTCAAGGACCTTTGTGTATACTCCATCGTAAAAATACAATTTATTCAGTTTAACGTGAAATGAAGCGAGTTATTTAAGAAAAAGAAATATGCATGGTGTTCACTCCTATGGTTCGCGCCATTCATCGACCGTCTGTAATGTAATAAAGTAAGTCGTTAAGGAAAGATTCATTTAAAACCACAGTGAAACATCTTTCTGGGAATTAAAACCAGGATGTGACATTCTACGTTCTTCTTTTAATCAATTTTTATTGTATTCGGTATAGATCGTTGGTTTTCACTGTACTATAAACGACTGAAACCTCTTGCGATTTGCCAGAGCGAACACCCTGCGTATATTTTTTTACATAATATATATATTTTTTTTCTTTTTTGGCATACGCATACATGTATGCCGGAATAATCTTCTTGCCACATCGGGTGTTGTAAATAAGTGTACTTACAGTGTTTAGCGTCCGCAAATAGTGCGTGTACATAAATATCTAGAACTTATCACCGCGAACGCGGTTAGAAACGGCATCATAATTTTAAACGACAATTTGTTCATAATGTAAACGTAAACGTGAATAATTTACATTAAGTTACGTTAATTCCTAGGCGGAAGAGTAAGGCCGGTGACCGAATTATCCAAATATCGTTCGCACAACGTAATAATAGCGATAGGGAATGGTCTAAAACGAATAAATGATTTATTAGTCTATGGATATCATCGCCATTGTATATCTTCTTTTGCGAAATGCGTTACGTTTTCCATGGAGAAATTAATTTTCATCGCGTGCAGATAGAATACAATGTGTAAAAAGTTTCGATTATTCCACGTTTCTACATTGAAAATGAACTGCCAATTGTATTTTCTAAAACATCGTAAACGAATTGCTTCTCGATGTATATTTATTTCGCCGGAATGCGACTGACCGCAGTTTGGCACACGCAATTATATGTATTTATACAGCTTCCTTTTTTAAATTAATTTCACGACATATGAGTAGATTTTTTAAAACGTTTGTAATTTAAATTGTACATCGCTTTTGGAAGGTCCTATCTGTTTCCCTTTATTCAAATTTTTACCCAGTATCGTAAGTTTAATTATTAAAGAGTTTCGAGTATTATTGTATTTCCGTCGGCGGGAATGACGGAATGTGAGTTTTTATAATGGGAAACGCTGATTTTATTATCTTCGGTACGTCCAATGAATATTTCTGAATAGTTGCGGAGGAAAATTTTTATACAAACGTCGGTTAATAATGCATATCCTGACAATTTCTATTTAGATTAGTAATAATGTCAAGTGTAAAGCAAAGGAGTAACGTGTACACATTGTCAATACTATCAGGTATTATTAAATAAAGCATAATTATATTATACAGTTTTCACGTTCCGATCAATCCCATTTCAATGTTCAATTATTACACTGCGGATTTTCATGCAAAATCATCAGACCCGACATTTCCGGGTTCTCGCGTACCTTTAACCTTTTAGGCACGGCTGAATTTTGCGCGGGGCTGTTTCTCTGTAGTTCAACGCGAATTACGTATAAATAATACGGCACTGCAATGTGTGACGGATAATACTGTTTTTTACACGAGTACATTAGAATGAAGTGTTTGATGATTAAATTATAATTTTTCTTAAATATATGATACACGCATTTTAACTTTAACAATTTATTCTAATAATTAATAATATAATTCAGTATGGTAAGTCTTAAAACACGGTACAACGCACAGACCCGCGAAAGCCACTATAGTGGCGCATAATGCCTAAGAGATTAATATACAGTAATATTTAGTTGGTTTCACAGTTTAAGTAGTTTATATTTTTTGAAATATGATTGTACTTCCTTCTTTGGATAGGGCTTTATTGCCAGACAAGTAGGAATGTTTTCGGGCTGTTCAATCCATAGTTTATGATGAATGTTCCCATCCGACAATTTTGAACACAAATCATTTAAACTGGCTTCATCTGGAACCTAATATTTATATTCATAAATATTATAAGTGTCAGCATGTTCCTTCTATTTTGAAACGATTGTATAGACAGATGTTTTGCATAATATATACAACTTAATACTCGATCCTATCAATATATTGTAAAATCGTGAATTAAACTTACTTCCAGGACAACTTTGTGCATGTCATTTAAATTGGCGAGGTAGGTTTGTGTGTAGTTATCGTTATAAAAAAGATGAGTGACAGCAGTGCAAGCGTGACATGCTTGAGCTATAACTGCACCGACAGGCCATCCCATAGTCTTCAGGAGATCGCCTCGTATCGCTACGTATTGAATCAGCTCCGTCATTCTAAAAATAAAAAGAACTATTATTAAAAGAAAGAATTGTTTGACCTTTTGCAATGCTCTTCAATTTCATTCAACGAAACGAAGTACAAACGAACACCAAGTATGTACAAAAATGAAAATGGTTATTGTTTCTACAAAGAACAGAAACAAACGTAAATATATTGTTTATTACAGTTTATATTGTGCAACATTCATGAGGTAAGTAAATATATTATGCCTAAGAGATTAATATACAGTAATATTTAGTTGGTTTCACAGTTTAAGTAGTTTATATTTTTTGAAATATGATTGTACTTCCTTCTTTGGATAGGGCTTTATTGCCAGACAAGTAGGAATGTTTTCGGGCTGTTCAATCCATAGTTTATGATGAATGTTCCCATCCGACAATTTTGAACACAAATCATTTAAACTGGCTTCATCTGGAACCTAATATTTATATTCATAAATATTATAAGTGTCAGCATGTTCCTTCTATTTTGAAACGATTGTATAGACAGAAGTTTTGCATAATATATACAACTTAATACTCGATCCTATCAATATATTGTAAAATCGTGAATTAAACTTACTTCCAGGACAACTTTGTGCATGTCATTTAAATTGGCGAGGTAGGTTTGTGTGTAGTTATCGTTATAAAAAAGATGAGTGACAGCAGTGCAAGCGTGACATGCTTGAGCTATAACTGCACCGACAGGCCATCCCATAGTCTTCAGGAGATCGCCTCGTATCGCTACGTATTGAATCAGCTCCGTCATTCTAAAAATAAAAAGAACTATTATTAAAAGAAAGAATTGTTTTACCTTTTGCAATCCTCTTCAATTTCATTCAACGAAACGAAGTACAAACGAACACCAAGTATGTACAAAAATGAAAATGGTTATTGTTTCTACAAAGAACAGAAACAAACGTAAGTATATTGTTTATTACAGTTTATATTGTGCAACATTCATGAGGTAAGTAAATATATTTTCACCATGTGCAATCTTAATCATATTTTTCATTAAAACACACGTTAATCTTCACCTTAATATTAATTATTAAATGTTGACACGATTTTTATTCTTCTTTTACACAACTTCGATAATTCTTCTCTATAATCAAGATAATATGATATCCTAACTAATATAATATGTAGTTATCATAATGTAAATGTTACTCGATATTTAAGTTGCTTTTTCGAAAGAGCCATGCTTGTTGACAACACGTGGTAATTCGGCTCAGCTGTGCTGATGACAGTAGTGATTGTTATTTAGATGTAAAATATTGATATACGTCTATATACACACTAGCCAACATATACATAGGCAATTTCCCTATTTGCGACACACAGGAACTATTTTCTTCCAAAAGTTGTCCGTTGGCTCTACTGAAAATGGACTGTGTTTGCGGTATTGTATTGGCTTTCAGAAAAATGTTAATACAAGTAAAGAGAAAATATTCTTTCTGATACAAGTACGTCCACCCACGAAAGCGTTTCGCGGAACACCAGGAGCACGACTCTGAATGTCTGAATCAGGGATCGTATAATTTTTGTCTCGGTCGGAAAGTGGGGACAACGCGACCATTACGGTTCCTGATTGGTTCGTATAATTTTTCCCGCACGGCTCGCTTCCCCTCTTTTTCGCCCGTATTTTGATCCCCACTACTATTCTCATCCGCCATGCCTAGCATACCCCCATCAAGTATTGGTCGCCACCATGGTCGCGTCGTCCTCACTTTCCGGCCGAGGGACAAATTATACGATCCCTGACCATGTCTAGCATACCCTCGCCAAGTATTGGTCGCCACCATGGTCGCGTCGTCCCCACTTTCCGGCCGAGGGACAAATTAAACGATCCCTGCTCTGAATACCGGCTTATTTGACCAACAGATTCGCCATGTTATTAGTTGTGCGTAGGCTCTAATTTGAGCAACGTCGATAGTTTTTATTCGAATAAGAAATCGAGAAATACAGTGAGCGCGTTTATTATGAACAGCGCTATTCTTATAACGGAGAACTTATTATTATATGAATAAAGAGTACAGTCAAATTGAATTAAGCGTTTTTTATTTAACACTTTCCCTGCCATGTTACAAAAACTCAGAGATTCTTGGAATTGTAATGTTAACAATTCCAGAAAGGGATACCTCTTCACTCATAATATTATTCTATTACAAAGATTAATTTTCGACAACGTATCAGAAAAATTTTCGTTTAGTAATTTTTATAAATGGTGTCACAGAAATTCTTGGAATTATAACTTCACAGTTTCAGGAAGGGATACTACTTCACTGATTATATTCTCCTGTTACAAAGTTCAATTTTCGACAAAATTCAGAATAATACTATACTATTTTAAAAGTTCATTGTGTCGCTTATTATTTATAAAGACCTGATTAAGAGAAACTTGAAACGAATAAAAAAATAAATATTAAAAATACACGCGACAAAAATTAAAAGAGTACATTATTAAAATAAAGTATAATATTCGCATATTGTATTATTGCAAGCGTAATTCGATTACGAATTAATCCCACGTCTGCTAATTTCGGGAGCGTCGTCGCGTCGTTTCTCAGATTTCGATATCCATTATCGAGAGGGTTGAATTGAATAATCAACTAGATGCACGCAACTATGCAGGTCGAAGCAATGTCCCGTTCCAATTCCACGGGGATTCGATCGTTCGGTGGTTAGTTATTAAAGAACTGACCTTTCCTCACGATTCCCTGATACGCCGAGTTGCATTAGGCTCGGTGTAGTCGCGCACGGTTCGTGATCGTCTCGGTTTGTAATAACGGATCGGCAAAACTAATGAAGTGATACATTATTCACAGGTGTCCCTGGTTATATATCGTTGAATAAACGCGTTCTCGTTTCGTGTGTCGGTAGAAATGATATCGGTTCTGTTGCTGCTCAGGTGCGTCGTCTATGGGAATAGTTTCGACGAGTTTCCTCCGGTGTTTGCCAACACATCGATGGGTACGGTTTTTCTCCCGACGCAGGAACCGCGATTTAAAGGAATTCTTTTAAACAGCCGTGGTCATCGACAGAAGTTTCTTCGGGAGCAGAGAGGAGCACCGAGACGCCGTATACCTAATACGCAATTTATTCAGGCAAACGGAAAGCGACATAGCCGTTCATGTTTTTTCTTACGCGAACGTCGATCTGTATCAAGGTAAAGTCGCCGTTCTCATTTCAAATCGTCTACTAATCTCGATTATCCCTCGATAATTAGACTACACGATTCTCCTCTCTATCGCGAGTTGCAATTCGACTTGGCGGCTGCACAGGATCGCGCGGAAGGAAGAGCTCGTCCACCTCGCCATAACAGGTTTAAAAAATTTTCAATACCATTTCCCTAATCGAATAATCGGACTCAACGAATATTCCTATTCCAAGACCTGGATTGTCCCCGAATCCCAGAGAAATACGGTATGAGCATACCGTTAATACAGCCAGGAGAGGAGCTGTCTCAGATATTCCTCGACCTAAGAATGATGGACGTTCTCTCTTGGACTGCGATCAACATCCTCCACGACGATACGTTCGGTGATAAGATTAACGATTTGGTTCGGTGCGTCGATCTTCCGTAGATTACATCCAGTTTTACGCATCGTTTCAGACAGAGACACGATCAGCACCGTGATGAGGGCCATCTCGGATAAATTACCGTACAACCACATTAACGTGATCTCCAGATCGATATTCACGTTGAAGCAGAGTAACGGAGAGACGAAGAGTTCGATAATGAAAGTGTTGAACGATTTCCACGTGGATCAGCTCGGACATTGTTTCCTGGTGATCGCTACGGTAGACGTGGTCGCCGAAGTGATGAGCGTGGTGAGACTTCTGTTCTTTCAAGTCATTTTCCGTAGTCGATACTTAATCCCTTTCGTAGGCAAGGTCATTGAAACTGGTCCATCCAGCGAGCCAATGGTTGTACGTGATCACTGATACTTCAACGCAGAATATGATGAACATGAGCTTTTTCCTCGATTTCCTGAGTGAAGGTGGAAACGTGGCCTTCATGAATAACGCGACCAACTCTGACAGTCTTTGCAAAGTAATGATCGATCATTAGTTCCGATTGATTGATCATAGACCTCCATTTTTATCAATTCATTTTACCGCGAATAATCAATTTTTTTCAGTAGAAAAAAACGGGTAACGAGTTGGAATAGTTAAGAGCGATTTCTTTGTAAAGTCTAATCTACGACAGATAATTTGTGAACGATTCTGGCTTCAGGTCGAGCTGATGTGTTACATAAAAGAAGTGGTCGAAGTATTGACGCAGGCTGTCAAGTATGTCTTCGAAAACGAATTAGAGCTGTTCGACAATAGGAGGAAGAGAACTTTCGAGGTGACGAAGGAAGAACGGCGGACTGAGATCCTGAGGAATGTCCGGGTCAGTAAATCGTTCCCCACGTTCCCTTCTAACGTACGGTTTAAACTGAAATCGGAGCACACCGCGTACAGCTATTCCTTTCACAAGACACGTCCCATTCCAAAGACGGCTGCAATCGCTGCCTGCTCTGGAGATTCACCTCGTCCATCACTTGGGGAAACTACTTTTCCCATAACAAAATGGATGAGCTGGTGCGCCTGTTGGACATAGGCACGTGGACGCCTGGCTTAGGGATTAATTTGACCGACGTCATTTTCCCTCACATCGCACACGGGTTCAGAGGCATCAGATTACCAATCGCTACGTACCACGTGGGTAAACGATGGACCAAACAATTGTCCCTTAAATGAAAACCGGTGATATTACAGAATCCACCGTGGCAGATAATTTCTGTGAGTAAAACCGGACAGAAATCGTACGACGGGCTGATTTTCGACGTGCTCAATCATCTCGGGAAGAAATTAAATTTCACGTACACTGTAATTGCGCCTGATGTGACTACGAGCCAAACTTCGAAGTCCTTGAATTCTTCTCGCTTCGCAAAGCTCGGCGAGGTGACAATTTTCATATTTAAACTGCGAATTTTTT